CTCAGCGGATCCGCGCAGCGCCCCCTGCCGCCGGGGAAGCCCCCCCGCCCTCCTCCCGCCTCCGCGCAGCGCCCCCTGCCGCCGGGGAGGCCCCCCGCTCCCCTTCCGCTTCCGCGCAGCGCCCCCTGCCGGTGCTTCCCCCGCCCCGCCAGGCCCCAGGACGAGGCAGAGACTTGGCTTCACAGTGGTTTAATGCGAACGGAACCGGGACGTTACACTGGACAGGGTGGAGACAGCTGGGTGGCTGGCAGCCCCGCGGCAGGACAGGCAGGAGGAAGGGGCCGCCCCAAGCGGGCGGGGGGCCCGGGCTGAGCCCTGGCTGCAGGCACAGCTGCCTCCACCAGCACCAGCCTCCGCGCTGCTCCACAAACCCTTCCCAGGCCGAGCCGGCCCCCAGAGCGGTTCCCTCCTGGTTTCAGCGACTTCTCCCCGAGAGCCAGTTACCCAGCAGTGCCAGTTCCTCACCAGAAAACCCAGGAGACGTTAGGGAGCCCTTGGGGGACGTGCTTGGCAGGAACGGGAGGGCAGTCACTGCAGGCCTATGCTCCAAGAAAGACTCAACTGTGCCACCACAAAGTGACCAAGCGCTTATAAACCAGCCAGCTTTGACCTGAGGAGTCCCCCAGCTAAGGCCTAACCTTGCTCATCACAGCTGTGGCAGCTGGAGGAGCCTCCAAAGGACAGTCCTGCTGCAGCAAGTCACAGCCTTGTGGTCACCCTCAAGCTCTGGACACTTCCCTGACCAGTCTTGTGTCCTCGCTTCCACACAAGTAACTGCCTAGCTCACCGCAGAACAGGGGAGAACACACAAAAAGCCATTGTTACTTCTCCTGCTTCATAAGCAAATGTCTAACCCAGGACTGACTGACCATATTCTGCTGTTCCTTTCTGGAGAGGTAGCCTCACCCCAAGCCCCACTGATGGGCTCCTCCTGTGGCAGCCACCATGGCCACACACTACAACAGCCCTTACCAGCCCTCTCCTGCTCCTCCTCAGCCAGACCCATCTCCTCCCCTCTGCAGCTGGGGCGCAGGATAAGGTCACCATGGCTCAGCTGAGCAGGGTGCTGCTGGAAACACCACCACACCAGCCTGCAGCAGAGCAAGCTGTGGCATTTTTTAAACCCTGGGCCAAGGCATCGCAGCACACACTGCTACAGCCCAGGCTATCCCAGCTTCCACACGTCAAACTGCCCACACAGAGCATCATGAGAGCACACGTCATGGAAACCCCTCGAGCTGCCAGCAGCATGTCAGAAAGGAGGGGGATTAACACGAATACACCAAACAGGTCTGTAATGCAGGAGGCTGAGAGCAGGGTTAGAGTAGGCCTTGGGTCTCAGCACTTCCAGACAGTGAAGAATGGGGGTTTCATGCAGGGTGAATGGGGTGGACAAGAGACCAACACACCCAGGCACCTACTCACTGTTTTGGATAAGCCTTACTAAAATGCTAATACCTGATGCGATCACTGACCAACATGACAACTGCTATTCTTCAGAGTCTCCTGCAGAGATGCTTGGGGCTGCACAGATAGGGGACTGAAGGTCAACTCATACCTTCCTGTACAGGGAGAGGAGCAGCTCCTACACCATAACGCCATAAGCAATTTCCTGCTCCACACCTATTCACATCTGCCCCTAGGTGTGGGATAACATGCTCACTTGCATAAATCTTCATACCTTTAGGCCAAGACCACAGCCCAGTAGAACAAGCTGCTGCCAGTTACAAAACAGGAAAATACTGAACAAACTGGGAGGTTCAAGAGAGGAAAAGCTGGTTCAGAGAAGACAGATTTAGTGTAAAAATAAATGTCATTTTTGCAGGAGGGAGGGTGGAATGGAGGAAGACAGTGCCAGGTGCTCCTACTGGCGCACTTTCCCTGGGACGTAATTCCTATCAATAGTCTCCTCTTGCAGGAACATATGTAAGCAGCGCTCATTCTGTGCCAGTGGGTGTCCAGCAATTCTGGAAGAAAATCAGATGTGGAGGTTAGAACAGCCACCACCGAGACCCTGACACCTCTGCTCTCTGTAGGGAGCTAATAAGGCAGACCTCCTCGTTAACGGGCAGCCAGCTCCAAGCACACCCACACCAGGCTCTGCCCAAGGTCACCAGATCGGTGTGCAACAGGGCCAACAAGAAGTACTTGAGGACAGGGTGTTCCCTCCCACACCATGCCCTGCAGCAGGGCACGAGCATCCTGAACCAACACTACCCTGTCGGTGGGTCTCTGCAGCACAGCTATTCTGCTAATATTTCCTTCACTCTCAGGAGAGAGTGCTGAACACAACCCACACTCAAGGCAGGACTTGCTTCAGAACCATGGTTTCATTACCCGGCTGCAGGCACCATCCTTTAGCACGGCACCTGTGTGCAGCAGATCAAGACTGCTTCCCAGTCAATCCACAGCCCTCTTCTACCAGCAGTAGCCAGAAAGGCAGCACACAGCAAACCCAGGACATCAAGCTTACTTGTTAATAAACTGTTCTAGTCCCTGTCTCCGCTCCTCAATGAAGGACTCCTCAAAGATGCCTTCGTCTCCTCGGAAGGGAAGCTGTCGTTTCAAGGCTTTTCCAGGCAGTGGTGGCACTACAATCTGAAAGCACAGAATCACCCTGTCAGCAGAATATCCACCTGCAAGCAGATATCCTTAACCATTTGACACTCACCTCCAGCTTCATTATATGCATAGAGATCAAGCCCCAACAGCTGCCCACCATCACAGCCTCTCTTCTGGGCAGCTCAAAATTATTGCTACAACTGTTCCCGTATGTCCTGGTTTCAGGAACAGGCAGATCTGAGCCAGGCCTCACCTTACTGTCTCGTTCCAGCTCATTCTTCAGCCATTCAAAGTCACTGTATCGTCTCCTCACACACGACTCCTTCAATTTGAAGATTGGGAGGTTTGTCTGTAATGAAGAGAGTAGTTAATCTGCAGGTTGCTTTGGAAGCCAGATAGTATTTCCACATGTCATTGAAACCTGAAGCTGCGTTTAGAAAACCAAGCCCGCTGAGAAGGAGGTATCATGAGAACACCCAGCTTCTTTATTCAGGACAGAGCACAAGCACAGAAGCCCTTTGGAATCAAGCAAGCACTTGCCAGGCTACTCAAAGCCAGCCATTCCCTCCCCCTCAAGTGACTATTTCAGGAACACACCCCCTCCCAGGGGCATGCGCTGGAACCAGGGCTCACAACACAGAGAAGGCTGATTTTTTTTTTCCCCTTGAGTTCACTCCATTTTGAAGTGATCTACAAAAGAGCTTCACAGCAGAAGAAAAGAACCTCCAACCTGACACTGGTATTTCCATGGAAGAACTAAGGGAGGAAATCTCATCCCAGCAACTGTTCAAGGCCAGAACTCATACTCCAGTCTTCTTTCAGAACAGATCATCTACCCTAACAGGCAAGCAGCTTTTTCTTATCTGGCTTGTGTCACTGGAGGAACATGCAGCAATTCCCCATCCTTCTCCCCCACCACTAGAGTCTAAAGACTGACAGCTATAGTAACTTTACCTTTATCCTATCAACACAGCCTGAAATGTTGAAGGAACCGAGGTAGCAAAACCTTCTGACAAGCAGCGCCCAGATGAACACAGGTATTGCTGCAACACATTTAACTATATTCTTATAAGGTCTGTGAAGTAAAACCAGCTGCTTTCAAAGCATCCCCACAAGAGCTAGTTTCAGTGGGACCGAGAGGTTCTCATTGCCACCTGCCAGGCACCCTTTGGCAGGCTGATGAAAACCAAGTGTCACAACAAAAAAAAGCAAACACACAATTTTTCTGAAAGGCAGTGGAGACTTAGCAGTTAAATCATGCTATGAACAGAAGTCAACGCCAGCACCCTAACATGCGCTAAAGGTAGTTTGTTTCCGGGGAAGCTCAATTTTACTTTTACTTCCTTCAGCTATCAGATGCAGAGCTGTGAAGAGGTCCCCAGTTCAGCTCGGTTAAGACCCAGGGAAGAGAACCCTGCAAGAAGTGCTCAGCCTGCTATGCACGCTCCTGGATCACAGGCTCTTTGTAAAGCCATCAAGCTGACTCAGAAGGGGTAGCTAGACTGCCCTGTGATCAGGTCCCAAGATACAGCTAGCTAGCTTTCCTCTCCTGCTCAAGATAACCAGCTGCACGCAGTCACGCCCTGCTCAGCAACCACCCGACGGTGCCCAAGTGCCAGGGCTGGGGCTCTAGAGAGGGGACAGAAGCCTGCTGAGGCAGCACCCTCCTTGTCCTTGTGCATACCAGCCCTCGTCGGATGCTGAAGGGCCCCGGCAAACCCACCAGCTGCGAGCGCTCTGACCTTGAGCCCGGGCCCGCCGGAGAGCCGCAGGCAAGCTGCCAGCCCCAGCCGGGCCAGAGCTCACCTCCTCAGCCCCCCCCTCCCCACCGCCGCAGACAAGCACGGACCCTGCCCGGCTACCCCAAGCCCCAGGAGCTACGCCCGGGCTGCACGGGGCCGCCGACACACAGACCGCCGCTCCCCGCCCCGACCGCGCAGGCCGCGCTCAGCCAGAGCAGCGAGACCACCCCGGCCCTGCCCCGGCCGCCCGCCCCGGGCCACCCCGGCACTGCGCACCAAGCGCTGCCGCCCCTCCCCGGGCCGTACACCCGGCCACGGGGCAGCGCAGCCCCGCCAGGGCACACA